TGCATATATTAGCATTTGGGTGTTCAATAAATGTTTTTATATGAAATCTGCTGCAATATGGTTGTCTTTTTAAAATTTGCATGTAAACTCGTAAATACTATTGTTGGGAACATCTACCCTGGAGGGAACTGTGGAGAACAAGGGGTGAATTGGTTGTGCAATTTAAAGCCCTGAGATGAGTGCGCAATTCCTCAGGTAAGGTATATCAGCACATGGTAATAAAACTCATGAAAAGCTTACCCCTTACATGGATAAGGAAGAATATTAGAACGAATCAGATAAGCTTAAAAAAAAACCTATTGCATAAACATGAGAAGGATCAGAAAAACAAGAAAAGGAAGAAATATGCTAGAGATCTTAGAGATTATAAGGAAAATGAAGTTTTCAAATGGCAAATCTCTAAGAAAGTAAATAATAAAGATCTATCTAATATACATCAAGTACCATCAGATGTTAATATACCCTCAGGTCAACAAGGTTTGTCTAAGGGTTGGAAAACCCCTTCTAGAGGGATATCACGATCAAGACGTCTGTCCAAGCCATCTAAAATTGATAATGGCTTTAATGTCCCCACTTATAACAGATATGACAGCCTGTATGTTAATGGTGATGAGGAAGTAGGAATGCGGGATATTAGACTACACCCTAGCCAAAATCGCCCCAATATGAGACCTGTTAATTATAATAACAATGACACCAATTTTCAGGATAACTCTAGATGATCGAGACCAAGAAAAGTCTCATGGAGAGATCCTAGGGAAGAATATGATACCCACTATCCTAATAATATATCCTTTCCAAATAATATCAGAAGGGGTAATAATAGGCTAAAACATAATTATCGGCAGACCTCCAATCAAAGGGATAATGATTCTTATAACCAATCAGGAAGTGGTTTTGAACAAAGGCGCCAACATTATAGATGGGATAATGGTCCCAATACTAATCAACACCATTCATCTAACAATAGGTAGCCCATCAGAGTGACGTAACGCCGCACACGGCCGCGAGCAAGGCCGGCGGCCATCTTTGTACAGTATACCTATACCACATGTGAGTTTTACCTGTTTCCATTTGGAGTGTTCGTTTACCATTGAATAAAGACATACTACAATATTAGTACCTATCTGTTCCCTGGCTTGGTTATTTCGAGCCTTACAAGGTGGAACCTCATCTGGACCTGGAGTATTACCTGGAGCTGTTCTGATGGTTATGTGAGTGGAGTGTGACCTTTGTGTGTGAGCAGTATCATCCCATGTGTCCACGTTGAGCCTGATGACCCCGCAGCCCTAGACCAGACCCAGATGTACCTATAAAGGATCATTTTTGCGCATATATTATGCGCTTCTGGTAAGTGCAAAGTCTCATTGGCTCACCGCACCTGAAGTTACCAGCACGGAGCATGGATCACCCCCGTTTATGGACTGTTATATAAGTTGATTGAAGTATTCACTCAACTCTATGCTTCATTGACACATTGGGGTAGATTTACTACAACTGTAGCATTCCGAATCTGGTGCAGCTTTGCATGGTAGCCAATCAGCTTCTAACCTCAGCTTGTTCAATTAAGTTTTGGTAATAAAACCTGGAAGCTGATTGGTTTATATGCAAAGCTGCATCAGATTTCACACTCTCCAGCTATAGTAAATAAACCCCCTTGTAACATCATAATAGGACGTAATCTTCACTTCACTATCTATGCGCCTTAGCAGCACTCACTATATATGCATTTAGTTTTATCAATACTATTATTGTGTATCTGATGTAATTTTTCTAGTGCTGCATATTTATTATTTTTATTGTCTATTGGAGGTGCAGAGGTTTGCCTTTATATGCTAGCTGCTTGTACATTTAACCTGCGCTCGCAAATACTTTCTATATATCAGCACTAGAGCGTGCAGAATCTGGTAATTTCTGCACAGAAACCAATCAGCTTCCAGTTTTTAGTAAATCGACCCCTTGGAATTGCATGACAAGTGAAAATACATTAACTTCAATGGCGGCCATTCCAAGCAATGAGACTCAAGTTTCAGCAACTTTTAAAAAAGTTCCTGCACTACTTTGTTGTGACTCGAGTCCCATAGACTCTAATGTCAAATGAAAGTCGCAAGCAAATGACACTGGAAATCACACGAAAATGAGGTTGCAGTGCGGACCAAGTGTGAACCGAGGCTAAATGTCTTGAGGATCTCAATGTTGGAGAACTCCTATAAATGGTGGAGGATGAGAATTTATGATATATGACTGCAGAATATTTGTGTTTGGTAACAGTATATGAACAAGTAGGAGTGGGAAGAATGAACAGCACTGGGTGTTGTATGGCATATATAGATTTATATATGTGGACACAATAACTGACTGGTTTAGGAGAGTTTGTCCATACTACACTATATGGCTTTTCTATTTTGTTTTTTGGATATAATGTCTTGGGAAAGAGATGAAGGATATTGAGGGAAGACACTATAGTGGCTTTTGGAATCAAACTTTATTTGACCCACATTCACAAAGGGTCATAGAATCTGGTGAGAGTTTAACAATTCAAGTATATAAGAAGACACATTCACAAGCACTGGAATATTATTAAAGATCATTTTATCAAACACTACTGTAGTTTGACTGAAATATTTCTTTAAAGTTACCCATTTCTGGGATAAGTAACCGATTAATGTTAATCTAGAAATCCCGGAGAGGATTCGCTTACCTTCAACTCAATCCCCAGCTGTATAAATGCAACAATATAGCCAATAGAAATGGTAAGGGGGCACCCATGGTACTAACCCTGCCTCATTACAAGGAGCACTTGTTATCTGAATGGCCAATCATCAGGTTTAATTGCTGTGATATGAGAGCAATGTGCACTTCTACTGAGATGAAATTTGAAGAGAACCTAAAGGGTTAGCTCACCTTTACCTATGCCAGATCCTAGTTGTTACTGTTCACCTTTGCCATCACGAGAGCAAGCTCTCAACTGCCAAATTCATAGCTACTGCATTGTGAAAGAAAGCACATTTGAGGGGGCTTGAATAGAGGCGGACTGACAACTCATGGGGCCTCCGGGCAATAGGGGATCATGGGGCCCCTGTGTCCTTGCCCAAACGCAAAAAAGCCTATGAAAAAGGTACCAGGGGCATCTCATGGGGCCCCCTACTGACCCCAGGCCCTCGGGCAGTGCCCGAGGTTCCAAATGGTCAGTCTGCCCCTGGGCTTGAATCATCACTCCTGTGATGGTGGAGGTGATCAGCTACAGTTCGGCATCACTTAATAACATCCTTAGCAATGTCCTAGGAGTTTTCCAGTCAGGCTTCATGAGTTTGAAAATGACCTACACCTATAGCAAGAGCATTATTCAACTTTCAAAGCTGCACAATTTGTTTCTATCTACAGACGCCCCTATTGACAGTTTTTGGTAAAGAAGATTTAACAAAGATTTGATAAAGAGGCCACACCTGGAAACATGCTGTCTTGGAGACCAGTGATGCTTTAGGCTGCCAGGGTTCCTCCACTGGTGTCAACTTTATCACTTTCAATTCTGTGGCAACCTCACTTCCTGTGCGTCACTTACGGTGTCTTAGCCAGCCGGATTCCTTGCTGGTTCCATGGCAGACCAAGGCGTTGTTGGTTGGCACCTCCTTTATATTATCCCGACTGAGGTTTACATTACACAGAGCAATTTGCTGCATACCATGGGAGCCTATGTAAGCACTTTATACATTAAGGTATGCGCTATGGATTTGGATCATTCTGCAATCTTTGGTGACACAAACTGTGGATTTTTATTGTTATTCCTTGATCCATATAAAAGTGTTTATGAACTTTGGACAGTCTGTTCATAATGTTATAATGCTTGCATCATACCAGGAGCCTTATAGCCCAGTGAAGTCATTGCTGGCACCCTTTGAGTCCTTGCACTGAGGGATTGTTAGTTTTTTGGTAAAGGTGATATATGCCTTTAAACTATCACTAAAGGCAAAACTTTTTTTAGTTTTGGAAAGAGTGGAGATGGATTAGAACACCTGTTTGTTTTTTTTATTGCTGTCTGTGTCACCATTAGTGAAATTCACCATATTTGTCCTGTATACCATTATCTTCAAAAGTAAAAGAAAACCCTACATTTTAAAAAATAACCCTAAATTTTAAAAGAAAACCCCAAATTTTGGGTTGTCCCCAGAAAAAGTAATAGAAGGGAAATTTTCCAATGGGAACACTGGTTCTGCTGACCTGGGGGTCCTCAAGGATTGCCCTTATATTGCAGAGATTTTCTCACTTCAGGTTTTGGCTATGGGACAGGACGTGAAGGTAAATCTCCACAACGGGACACAGATGGCCCTCCCTTACTCTATCCAAAATGAAAAAAAAAAAAGTTTTGCCTATAGTTCTACTTTAAAGTCACTCAGTTCATATCAGTTGTTTTAGTCTAATGCATATACAAGTAGATGTTAACCCCTTCACGCCGGCGCCTCCCGGCCCTTTAAGGGTTTCAGAAGATGGGTAATATCACGGCGGTCACATGATCGGGAAAGGTCCCGATTGAAAGAGGAGATCGGGACCTTTCCGTGAGTACCGGACATTTGTGCTGGGAGCTCGCTCTCAGCACATATTTCTTTTTTAATAGAACGCAAATGTGCGGTTGCTCAGCGTCTAGGCCCAGATGCCGGGAGGCCGCACATTTGCGTTTGGCCGGCGTGAAGAGGTTAAGTAATTGTTAAGTAGCTGTTTGTTAACCACTTGCCGTCCGCCTGCTGTTTATAAATGGCAGGGCGGTGGCAGTCCAGGGGGCGGGTTGCCATTCATAAACGACACCCGCCTTTTCTAGCTGTGCGCGCTCAATGGGAGCGCGCAGCACCGCGATCCGGTGCCCGCTGTGTCCTCTGGACACAGTGAAACACAGATCGTCGGACGGGACCTCTGTACGAGGTCCCGATCATGTGATCACTGATTGGCCAATCAGTGATCACATGCAAAGTAGTAAGCAAGATGTCACTTCTGACATCATTGCTTATTACGTGTGAAATCTGTGAATGATCACAGAGGTCACATGGTACAAGGCTATTCACAACAGCCTTGTACCATGTGACAAGCTGTGACCAATCACAGCTCACTTAGTACTTCTCAATGACTGCAAGAATGCAGACAGAGAGAAAGAAAAATGATTGCTTTTACATCCTATACTGTATGGGTGTAAAAGCAATCAGTGTAAAAAAAAAAAAAAAAAAAAAAATCTTCATCACCCCCCACAAGTAGTACAGTGTCACCATGGTGACACTGTACTGCTAGGGTGACAGTATGTAAAAAAAAAATAAAAATAAAAAATAATAATATAAAAAAATAAACTAAAAATGTAAAAAAAAAATGTTTAAAAATGATAATTTTTGGTTATAAACTAATTTGCATTTTTTTTTTTACTAAAAAAATAACGGAATAAATTTTGGCCAAGATTTATGATGAAATGTTATTTATTTACAAAATTTTATAAAAAAAAACACTTTTTTTCAAAACTTTTGGACTTTTTCATTTACATAGCAAAAAAATAAAAATCCCAGTGGTGAATAAATACCACCAAAATAAAGCTTTATCTGTCTCAAAAAAATGGTAAAACATTCATATGGGTACAGTATTGCATGACCACGCAATTGTCATTCAAAGTGTGATAGCGCTGAAAGCTGAAAATTGCCCTGGACAGGAAGGGGGTGAAAGTGTCCGGACTGGAAGTGGTTAAGTAACAAACTTTCCTAAAATAATCTTTGTCAATTTCTGTTACAGTGAATGTATAGCCAAACTTTTTTTTTTCCTTAATGGTACAGCATAGGTGATTTTGCTTTTCTTCCCCTTATGTCCCCTATGTTCATCCCAAGTCTATGGTTCAGCTAAGAATGCACATATCTCATTAAGTTTGAAAACTTAAAATTAAAAAAACATGAATCACACGGGAAATCAGGTACCTCCTGCTGCCTTCAAATGGAGAACTTATTACTAGTGCACTTGTAACCTGGAAAACAAAAATAATTGGCTTAAGGAAATCCACCTGACTGTTTTTTTTCTGGCCAAGAAATGTCCGTAGGGGTCAGCGAGTATATACAGATATATATCCACTGAACAATATGGCTGGAATCAGACCAATCAGGTGAGGTTCATCTTAAATTTATAGGCACCTTTTGACTTGTTTTGATCTCGCCACCCTCAAATTATTTACATTTAGCAAAATAATGTAAAAATTACCAATGCTTTGGATGTAGTGCACAAATCTACTACTGATCAAGGCTTGTCTACAAAATCCCTTAGCAGGACAGTTCCTGGTTATTGGCCTGGCAGATGGTTTTTCATCTGGTGTATCTAAGCAGAATGGATGAAGGTCCTCTGAGAAGACCCAAATAATGCTAGATCCTAGATCTGCAGCAGGAGACCTTTGTAAGCAGAAGTGTTTCCCTTCGTGCAAGTAAAATTATTCACTGAGAGGTGTGTTTGCTCGGAGACAAAAATCACAGGAATTCAATCTAAAAACCACAGTTATTTATGTAGAAAAGTATATATTTCCTCAGGATTTTAAAAGTCTCGATATCCCCTTTTGTAGTTTGCTTAAAAATTAGCACTTTTATTGATATCTAAAATGTATTCAAACTGGTTGTTATTCCTGCTGGAGAAGGTGGTATTTAAGGCACAGAAGGTTGTGCTTTTATGTGGTATTTTTAATAATTTTGCTAATCTAGCCAAATCTTCTTAACCCTGGCCGATCTCAGTATTTAGAAGTATACAAGAAGCCACACGTTCCCAGAGTAATAGCAAACCATTGTCACAAGTACTGCTGAAAGTACATGTAAACCTGCAAACAGCATGACACTGTAGGATTGATTTATTAAAACCGGAGAGTGCAAAATCTGGTGCAGCTCTGCATAGAAACCAATCAGCTTCTAGATTTTTTTTGTCAAAGCTTAATTGAACAAGTTGATGTTAGAAGTGGACTGGCTACCATATTTTGCACTCTCCAGTTGTAGCAAATCAACCCCATTGCATCATAACTAACTGCCATCATTGTGGTATCTCCACTCAAAGTCCAGGACATCATATGACATTCAATAGGAGAGAGGTGGTTAAAGTGTTACTAAACCCTGCATTCATTATATCCGCTCTCCCCGGACCCTGCATTCACTATATCCTCTCTCCCCGGACCCTGCATTCACTATATCCACTCTCCCCGGACCCTGCATTCACTATATCTGTTCTCCCCGGACCCTGCATTCACTATATCTGTTCTCCCCGGACCCTGCATTCACTATATCCACTCTCCCCGGACCCCGCATTCACTATATCCTCTCTCCCTGGACCCTGCATTCACTATATCCACTCTCCCTGGACCCTGCATTCACTATATCTGGTCTCCCCGGACCCTGCATTCACTATTATATCTCTTCTCCCCGGACCCTGCATTCACTATATCTGCTCTCCCCGGACCCCGCATTCACTATATCTGCTCTCCCCGGACCCCGCATTCACTATATGGCTCTCCCCGGACTCTGCATTCACTATATCTGGTCTCCCCGGACCCTGCATTCACTATATCTGCTCTCCCTGGACCCTGCATTCACTATATCTGGTCTCCCCGGACCCTGCATTCACTATATCTGGTCTCCCCGGACACTGCATTCACTATATCTGGTCTCCCAGGACCCTGCATTCACTAAATCTGGTCTCCCACAGTACACACAACATGGAAATGCAATTATTTTAGTAAATATAAACTGCTAAACACCTTTTCTCATCAGCAGTTAGAGCAGTCTTGTGACTTCTATCACAGCCAGTCCAGCCAAGGCAATAACAAACAAACAGAGGGCACACCGGCCTAGTGCATTATCTTTAAAATATGGCTTTATTATATGAAAAGTAAGTATTATACTCACAAAATAAGCTAAAAGTATAAGTTAACCTCATGGAAACAGCACAGTTCAATCCACAGTACATCATGACGTGACAGAACGATGGAATCTCAACAGGCTGACACGTTTCGAGGACTTATCCTTCCCACAAGACTCAGTGCTCACAAGATTGTTAACTGCTCCCAAACTAATATATGGTGTGGTGTCAAGACCACCAATCAGTCCGGGGGTGTTTCCAGACCGCCTATGGGTGGGGACTAACACTGTGTATCTCATAAAGCTTTGTGACATCAACCCCTACATATGTTTCTCTTACCAACTGTAAGAAACATGGATGACCTCAGACAATGACACCATCATCAAATGTGAAAGTGATGCATGATTAACAACAAAACTATAAAAAAATAATCATACTAATATTTATCCAGAGTAAGCGGATTTTGCTTACCATTCGCGGCCTTGGCTGTCAATCATTGGGTCCCGGCTGGTGATTACTCTCCGGCACCCAGTGATTGTCGAGCATCTTCAACGGAGGGGAGAACTGTTTGTAAACAATACAGTTATCTCCCCTGTCAGCTTTTGCACACTGCTTTGCATGGCTGTGCAAAAGGGATTAATGCCAGAAAAGTGACACGGCAGCTTTATTGAGCTCCCCCCAAATATCTTGGACTATAAGGTCCCACAAATACAAGGATTCTTAATGCCATCTCTATCACCAGCCTGTTGGAGATGCAGCCACCTGGATGGAAATTTTTTTTCAAATTTTTTGGAGTTGCCTGTTCATTCTCAGTTTTGACTGGATACTCTAGAAGTTATTATTATTATAATACAGGATTTATATTATTATTACTATAATACAGGATTTATATAGCGCCAACAGTTTGCTCAGTGCTTTACAATATAACGGGAGACAATACAGCAACAATACAGTTCAATACAAGAGGGATAGGAGGGCCCTGCCCCTTGGAGCTTACAATCTAAGAGCAGAAGTCATCAGGACAGTCTCCAACATTCGCCTCACCCCCAATGCCAAGAATATGCGTGTTGGGCATGTCAAAGATCTGGCCCCTACTGTGGCCGAACGGACACTTCTAGGCATATTATTATTCTACGCTAGAAAATTAATCGTTGTTCACTTGCAGAAAGCGTCTCCCCTTTCTACTTGACTTCTAAAAACACCTGGTTATCCCGAACTTCCCTCTCTTTCAGGACACTTACAAAAATAGGGGCAGTGAGAAAAAGTTAAGTGTGGGCCTGATGGCTCGATGACCCATCTACTGCTGTGGAATCGGCCCCCTGATGTCTGTTAGTGGTCTTTTGTGAGCTTATCCTCTAGCTCTGTTGTCCCCTTTGGAAGGAAGACATTCTCTTACACATTTCGTATACATTCTCCTACCATTTCATAGCATTGCAAACTGGCACATGAGCCCTCGTTAGGTACAGCTTTTGTCAGTTGTATGTGTTCATGTTTCTCTTTACAAGTGACCTCCCCATGTGTGGCTCGGCTCACTTGAGATGTGTTCAGAATTTTCTATATTCAAAATGATAAAATACATTTCTAAAAAAAAAAAAAAATAAAGGGTTCTTATCCTGGGGTCCAGGGATCACTGTGGTCCATGGATAGGTTTCAGGAGGTCCATAAGGGTCAGATAAAAAAAAAAAAATGTTTACATTCACTATAAAACCCTCCCCATTGTTCCAATCAATAGTTTTTCATTAAAGAAATTCAACAGAATGCACCCTACCGCAACGAATGAGGCAATAAAGTACATGTCAGGAGCGTGTAGCGCCCTACTCCATTACAGCTGCTGGTCTCATTCCAGGATCCTGGTTTTGGTTGTGATACATTCTCCCTGTCTGTCTGTCCACCTGCAAGGTGATTGATGTGGAAAGTGGCTGGGTGGAGACCAAACCTGATTTAAGCCAGCCAAGCCTGCAGTCCCATGCTTGTGATATTACATTTGTAACATATGCTCCAAGCTCTCTGTTGTCTGCCCTGTCTGCTAGTTTGGATTCCCTCATTGATGACCTCGGATTGGATATTGACTACTCTCTGAACTCTGCTTGCTTTTTGACTATGTTTTAACCCTGACTATGCTGAATCTTGCTTGCCTTGTACCAGGACTGTCATTGAAACCCTCTGCCAACTGCAAGTACCTTTTTGCTGGGCTCAGTTTGCACCCTGTCCAAAGTGGTAGCATTGTGTTTAAGACCTGGGGGCAACCGAGTGTGGGTAGGCCCACTTGCCTTATAGGAAAGGGGCTGCTATAGGTGAAAAACACAGAAGCCAGCTATAATGCCTGACTATTTTGAACCTTGCCTGCTTTGTACCAGGACTATCATTGAACCATTCTGCCTGTTTTCCAACTGCAAGTACCTGTTTGCTGTGCTCAGTTCGCGCCTGCCCCAGCATGGTAGCCAGGCACTTTAGCATTGTGTATAGGACCTGGGGGAAAACGAGTACTGATAGGCCCACTTGCCTTATGGAGAAAGGGGCTGCTATAGGTGAAGAACACAAAAGCCAGCTACAGTGCCTGACCATCTGCTTTAGGAGTAAACATAACACTACATTTATTCATTGCATGCAAAGTTGTGCTTATGTGAATATTTCTACCAAGAGGATCCATAGCTTTCATCAGATTCTCAAAGGGCTCCATGCCTCTGGTTAAGAACCATTTGATTAATATGTTTTGTGCCGCTACTACCTGACTTTTGAAGGATAAATATAATAGAAAAGTCATTAATGTTTGCTATATATTTTTTTATTCTTCTGTTGGTAGAGTTTACGTCTCTTGGAAGAAAATTATTTTGACATTTCGCCATCTTAAAATATTATGCAAAACACACACATAAAATAGCATTATTATTATTAACATTAAATTGGTTAAAAGAACTGAAAATTATGTTTTCTTAACATCACTTTAGAAAATAGTCTCCCTCGGGTGCCTTGAACGTTCTTTGTTCTTTATGATGAAGCTTTTGTTGGGAAACTGTCAAACCAAGGATCCGTTTATAGGCAGGTGAAGCTATTTTAAGTTGGATTAACAGTACATACAATGTCGAAAGGTAATTAAGAAACAAATATTGTAAATTCTGGAGAAAAACTATGCCCTGATTTACGAGTTCTACACAAGAGAGATTTCCCCTTGCCTCTAAATATGTAAATATATGAAATACGCTGCAATCAGAGCTGAACAGAGTGTGTAGAGATTTCTGCCGAGCCTTATGTGGTAAGATAGTAGGCAGTGGAACACTTAAGGGAAGCTGGAAGAAAATAGGACAAGTTCACTTCAGCTTCCTTCAACTTCTTTTGGGTCAAGTCAAGTGTACTGGCAGTTGCATTCCACATAGAGTTCAAAGGATTCCTAGTTCCCAGTGAAGTTACCAGAACACTTTCATTCCATAGATGCAGGCAAAGCATTTTTGTACAGCGGCCCTTGTTTTCATTCTTTTTCATTTGTATATATTAATTGAATCGCTAATTCAGAACAGTGTTGTTTATTTAAATTACATGTAAATCCATTCACCAAAATCTCATATATGCTTTAAAGCGATATTAAACCCAAAAGCAAACATTTATTATATTGTAGTCTGCCAATTTTTAGATGTGATGGCTGCATTGGCTTTCTTTTTAGGCTTTCTTTCCTTTATCCAGCGATTAAACCTATTGTTTTCCAACAGGACAAGCTGTTCTGCAGATGTAGCAATTACAGGGATGAGAGAAACCATTTAACAAGGGTGCTTTCAATGGTCAGATTTTTATTTATTTATGTAAAACCTTTATCCCAAAAGGAAACAAAAACTGTTTGCTGTAACTGCTTAAAAAGTGCTAGATGGAGTTTGGCTTCAATGTGTTAATGCATCTAAATCTGCTAGTACATCTAACACTCCCCTACCCCAATTCTGCTGTCCAAATCATGGTAGATCATAAGCTTAATAATGGCATGCAATGCCAAGCTGCTGTTTCTAAAGCGAGCAAAATCCTCTCTTGTATGAAAAGAGGTATAGACTCTAGAGAGAGAGATATCATTTCCCCGGTACTAATCATTAGTAAGATCTCATCTGGAATATGCAGTTCAGTTTTGGGCACCAATTCACAAAAAGAACATTGGGGAACTGAAGAAAGTACAGAGAAGGGCAACCAAACTGATAAGAGGCATGGAGGAGCTCAGCTATGAGGAACGATTAGAGGAACTGAATTTATTCTCTCTTGAGAAGTGGAGATTGATGGGGGGATATGATCTCCATGTATAATACATAAGGGGGGATATGATTTCCATGTATAATACATAAGGGGGATATGATCTCCATGTATAATACATAAGGGGGGATATGATCTCCATGTATAATACATAAGGGGGATATGATCTCCATGTATAATACATAAGGGGGGATATGATCTCCATGTATAATACATAAGGGGGATATGATCTCCATGTATAATACATAAGGGGGGATATGATCTCCATGTGTAATACATAAGGGGGGACATGATCTCCATGTATAATACATAAGGGGGGATATGATCTCCATGTATAATACATAAGGGGGGATATGATCTCCATGTATAATACATAAGGGGGATATGATCTCCATGTATAATACATAAGGGGGATATGATCTCCATGTATAATACATAAGGGGGATATGATCTCCACGTATAATACATAAGGGGGGATATGATCTCCATGTGTAATACAAAGGGGGACATGATCTCCATGTATAATACATAAGGGGGGATATGATCTCCATGTATAATACATAAGGGGGGATATGATCTCCATGTATAATACATAAGGGGGATATGATCTCCATGTATAATACATAAGGGGGGATATGATCACCATGTATAATACATAAGGGGGGATATGATCTCCATGTATAATACATAAGGGGGATATGATCTCCATGTATAATACATAAGGGGGGATATGATCTCCATGTATAATACATAAGGGGGGATATGATCTCCATGTATAATACATAAGGGGTGATATGATCTCCATGTATAATACGTAAGGAGGATATGATCTCCATGTAGAGATGAGCGAATTATCTCATAAATTCGGGGGATATGCGGGATTCGATCGATGTATTCACTGCAATACATAAAAGGGGGCACTTCTAAGGAGAGCCTTTATATTAGTGCAGAACACGGTCAGATATGATTCTCCATCAATAGAAGAATAAAAGAATAATGAAGAAGAAGAAGAAGAATTGAAAAGAAAGAAGAAGAATGAAAAGAAGAAGAAGAAGATTCTGAAAATTAGAATGAATAGAAGAATGAAAGAAGAGAAGAAAATGAAAAAGAAGAAGAAGAAGTTTTCTCCATGAATAAATATGAGGGGAATGAAAGAAGAATGAAAATGAATGATGAGAAGAATGAAAAGAAGTATGAAAAGAAGAAGAAGAAGAAGAATGAAAAGAAAGAGAAGAAAATTGAAAAGATGAATGAAAAGAAAGAGAAGAAGAAATGAAATAGAAGAAGAAGAATGAAAAGAAGAATGAAAAGAAGAAGAATGAAAAGAAGAAGAAGAAGAATGAAAAGAAGAAGAATGAAAAGAAGAATGAAAAGGAAGAAGAAGAAGAATGAAA